AGAATTTTATGTGATAATACTAGTGCGATTGCAATAACCCAAAATCCAATACTTCACTCGCGAACCAAACATATCGACGTCCGACATCATTTCATACGAGACCACGTCGAGAAGAAAGATTTAAAGATCGATCACGTTCCCACAGAAAATCAAATCGCCGACATTCTCACAAAACCATTGTGTGAATCTCGTTTTGCTACTCTAAGGCACGAAATAGGAATGATTGAAATGAGCTAAGTATTTCGAAACTCTTAAATTCGAAATTTGTACGTGTTTTGCATGAAATTTGTTACGTATATGTTCTATGTATTTTAATTTGAGTAACGTGTTATTTGTTTTATGTGCAAAATGTGTTATTTTTTATCTTACGAAATTTTGGTACGTAGAGTTGACATGAAATTATTTGATCTATTTGTAATTATGTGAAAGGAGTATATAATTTAGGGGGAATCTAGCATGATAGTGGGTTCATTGAATGCAAGTTTAAGCTCAGTATGGTTTATGTGATTTAATTGCCTCAGTTAATTATGACCTGCTTAAAGTCAATTGATGTGATTTGCTTAGAAATTGCAAAATAAATTTGACATCTACTTATTTTAGTTGAAACTTGTGCCTAACTGTCAAAAATTAATTTTCTTTTGCTCAGAAAGAATTATCAGAATTTTTGGAACTTGAACTCAAGTTGTTAGCTGGAATATATTTATTGCACTAACAATTATATGCTATAGAAATTATTTCACTAAGGATAAATTGAATTTGATGCATATTATTGTGAATAATATCTCTGTGGATTTGGGAGTTTTTCTGTTTGGGAGATTGGTTGAACAGGTTGGAAGTGCGAAACCGTTGGTTGATGGTTGGTTTCCACATGATCTTGGCTATGGTTTTGTCATTGGATAGTTATTGAAAACCAAGAGAGTTACCCTGTCCAAACCAAGGCCAATCCAAAACCAAAATTACATCTTTAGAACACCCGAAACCAAAACCAAAGACCCTACCCCATCTGAACCCGCAAAGAAAGCCACCCGAAAGCGAAAACCCTCTAACCCACCCAAACCATCTTTACCCAAGAAATCCATTGTCATTCGAGAACCTAGCATTGAAGGTTCCAATACACTCGAGAGAGCAAGTGACGGAGTATGTAGTCATCCTCTAGTCACATTACCCGCCCCTATCCTAAATTCCATGGACCCCAACACACCCGTAATGATTGTTCGGGATGATGTAGGAAGTGTAGAGGATATTCCAACTTATGGAGCCGATAGTGCATTGTTGAAAGAGCTTGACTGTGTGAAGTTTTGGAGGACATTGAGATTAAGTGATCATCAATCAGTTGCTACCTCTATAGGGCCGAATACACTTGACTTGGAGGAATTTGCTCTTACTTGGTTGGGTACCCGAGATCTCTCTAAAGCTACGAGACTATCGGAGATCAACAAATGCTTTTTGAGGAAAGTAGCTATGAGTTGGGGAAAGGAGAAAGTTGTACAGGACACTACCGTAGCGGTGGAGACGGTAGATGGTTTTGCTCGCACTGACATTGCTTAAGCCTTACATATTTCAAGAATGGAAATTCATGGACCGCTGGGGGAAGCATCAAACTTGAGGGAAGCCAATGTTGATAGCTTGAATGATTTGGATGCATTTCCTTCGGATATTGGAGAAGACAATCTAAGCTTTGATGCATTCTATCATCACACGGCTACAGAGATCACAAATTCAGTGCATGGAGGAACAAGCTTGAATAGCAATCAAGTTACACTTAATCTGAGTAGCTCTAATTCTCTGGTTAATGAAGGCTTGTTAGGTGAAGTGAACATTCGTGACACACGTGTGAATGTTCAAGAGGAAGTTATGCAAGTTGTACCACCTACTCCTCTACTTCTATGTTACATCGAGCCAGCTTGTCCCACCGTTGCCGAGCCACTACCAATCGTTGCAACATCTCAAGTTGATGCATCGGAGCCGATTCATGCTACACTGCCGAGACCTCCACCTATGGCACAACTCGAGGTACATTCCTATCCATTTGATGTTGAAGCCTTGAGACAAAATATTGTAGGGGATGTGCGCGTAGAAATTCATGATATGAGAGGCAGTATTACTCACCAAATTGGCAACCTTGATACTAAGTTAGACGACTATCACAAGGGTATATATGAAAGGGCCGAATCATTGTTTCTTGGACAAGGTTCGATGAAGAGTGACATGACTATGATGACTAATAAGCAAGATTCCCATAACCGCGAAGTCTTGAATATGTTCCTTGAATTGGGAAAAAAAAGGCACCGACAATGATTCGAAACTACGGTTACTTGAGAGCCAAATGAGAGCCCTTCTTCAACAAACCGGGGTGAATAACGATCATCTAGTTGGAATTCGTGATAGCCAACTCAATGCCTTAGCAAGCTTTCAAAAGTATGTTGATGCTGCCAAAAAGGGGGAAAGAGCTAGAGGAGCTCCACAATGTGTATTCTTGATGATATTGTGTTGTATGAGCATAATCTTGTGTTTATGATTATGTTAGAGCTTGTATCTAGGTTGTATGATGTTATTGGATGTGCTATTCCTTCTATTCAAGTCAAATTTGTTGTTGATGAGTGTATTGATATGTTTGGACTTGGATTGCACATTTTTGAAAATTTTCCCGAGTTGAATTTCTTCTACAGGGCTTGTACCAGCGGGGGCTTCTAGCGGGCAGTTTGCCACCCGCCGGAACCACCCTTCGGTTCCTATGTCTTCGAGGGCCGTTTCGGCGGGTACTTTTGGTCCCGCCGGAACCGCCCACTAGTACGCCATGGGTTTCCGGCGGGACCTTTTGTACCCGCCCGAACCGCCCACTGATACGCTTTGTTGACTTCTTGATTTGTTGTTCCCCATGTGTTTGTGAGTATTTATTGATGTTACGTAAGTCTAGAGCGGCATATTATGAGCCCAATGGTTAGGATTTGGAGTCTTATATCGTGATTAATATCCAATATTGCTATTCATTGGATTATTTGATGAAGTCTATGATGTTCGTATGAACCCTTGTGATTTCTCTTTGACTTGTGTATTAGCATGTTGTTTCTTGATGCTAGTATGATTCGTTGCGATAGCCTATGCTTGATTCTTGATTGAATTAATAACTTGAGCTTATCTATTCTTTGTGACACTTCGTTGGAATCCTTTGTTGTTGAGTCATTACCTTTGGAATACTCTTCTTGTATTTCTCTCTTGATATCCATTTGAACTATCGTTGTGAACTTGTACTCTTGTTGTATCCTATCGTTGAGAATTCCTTGAATTGAGCTAATGATTGAGCTTATTCGTTGTTGAATGCATTTCTTGTGGAATCTATTCCTTTGCTTTGTTTCTTAAGATTCCTTGTGTATTGAACTCTTATTGTGATGATTGAACTGATACGGTGGACAGTGTGATGATTTCTTACAGATTCAGGATGATGGTATTACGGACAACCTGTCGAAACTTATTCGGGTTGTCGGACCTATTTCTACTTATTGGGAGTTGGAAGCCCCAATAGGGGTGTATACACTTAAGGATTTAGGGCCGCCTCCATGATTCGGGTCTTTGACCCCACGAAACCATTTCGGGTCGTTGCGATGACTCCGCGCATCCTGTCGGGTCTTCGTGACCCCGCGGAATCTATGTATTGAGAGGGTGGTTTACCACAATCAGGTCTATGACCCCGCGTGCCTCTCTTGTGTTACTTGCACACTTTGAGCCCTCCACACTGATTCGCCATTTGATTCGAGTCATTGAGATTGACTCCGCGATGTATGCCTGTTGATTGTGTCCTTTGTGGACTTGGTACCTTGATATTGATGTTGATTGCATAACCTTGATGAGAACTATCCTTGTTGCTTGTTATGACTGTCTTGCCATGATCTTTATTCTTGATTCCAGATTCAATCTATTCTATTGTTCTTGTGGTCTATTGGGTATGGTTGAGTATATCCCTTGAATGGTTTGGTCTTGAGTCAATTCCTTGTAATTTACTGAATTAGAGTTGATTAGAGATATACTTATGTATTCCCAAGTCTCAAAACTATTTTAAAGTATCAAATGTATATTTATGTATCTTTACACATTGGAGTGGGGTTACTTAGCATTATCGCTAACGGTTATTTAAAATGATTTCAGGTACAGATTAGTCAGTACAAGAGCGCGCTAGTTGGAGCTTACGATCTAGACTTAGCAACCTTTCTTCATAGTACTTAGTTGTTTGGCCTGTGAGCCTTTATGGATGTTTTATGACGTTTGGATATTTATTTCTAGTTTTCGTCTGTGCATCTAGTTTTGATGGACTAGATGTGGCATGACATCCCTAGACTTTGTTATTAAGCTTCCGTATTACATTTTTACTTATACCAGTTAGACTCTTTTATCTAAATCTCTTAAGTTTTAATTGCTTAAAAGTATGCCTAATTTTTTGGGGTGTTACAATTTTGAATTTTGATGGAGAGGGTTGCTCTGTTTGCTTAAAAGTTTATTATTAAAAATGCCAACTCAGCTGCCACATAAACAGGTAAGCTGCTAAAATTGGTGGTAACCTGCTATCAGGTAGAATTGTATACATTTTGAGTTTTCAGTGCCTAATTACACTTTCTTTTCGTCCAGTGACCTAATTGCATTTTAGGTTATGTTCAGTGGGCAATTTGAACCTTATTCCTTTTTAATAATAGTATTGATTCTTATACACTAGACCACTACCTTGGAAAATGAATGATTTGTCCCCATACATGAACGCCGCCGTGGTGCCGATTTATATTCGCAGGAATGGGAAGCTAACGTCATAGGTATGACCTCACTGGTGACGTCCGACAAGGATATGCCACGTAGCTCCAAGGACGGAAGCAACGTCGTCCTGTGCTCCTGGAAAGCATCTACGAAGCCGGTAATTTTAAATTTTTTTTCTAAAAAAAAAAATATTAAAAAGACGACAAAAACAGCAGAAAATTAAAGGCAATAACAATTAACGATAAATAGAGAGAGAGCCATACACGTACAGTCCCGGGAGATAAGTATAATCATCATAGCGTCTCATCGACGCACTGTCCTGGTGTGCTTGATCGCTCCAGAAATATAATGGAGAATTCTCAATTTCAAAACCCTGATAACGCCGGAGTATTATTCGTCGATGCGCCGGAATACTATCTGTCCGATTATCTCCTGCCGGAAAATATCTCGCCGGCGGCGGAGCAACACTGTTGGCCGAAAACTATGGTGCCGACGGAATCTGTCGGCAGTGGATCTTCCAACCCGATTCCAACCTCTAGTAACATGCAAGTGCTATTTATTTATTTATTTATTTATTTATTTTGGCATATTAATTAATTTAAACTTTTTTTTGGATAGTATATATTTATAATGGTAGTGGATGGTTTTAAGAAAGAAATAAATCAAGATATAAGAAATATATAAATAACGATATTTGAATATATATATATATATATATATATATATATATATATATATATATATAGAGAGAGAGAGAGAGAGAATAGGGTCCCAATGAGAATACTTGCTTAGGTGAGAACGTGTGAACAAATCGTGTGCATCCATCTAATTGTTTAGATTAGATTAAGTGTCTGTGAACGCAAATTAAATTTGTGCAAATGCACTTAATCACGTTTGCACACACTTAATCTAATCTAGATCATTAAAAATATTATATAGATGCACACGATTTGTTCTCACGTTCTTACATAAACAAGTGTTCTTATATGATCCTATATATATATATGCAAAAAATACAACTGTATGTTTGTGTTTGATTAGTTGATAGCATTAATTAGCTTATTGTAGAAAGATGTTTGATAAATTAGTTGTTAGCTATTTATCGAAAAAATTACTTTGAGCAGTTTTTTGAATTTTAGCATTTGGAACAATAAGCTATTACAGAAAACTAATTAATCAAGCATTTATATTAAGTGTTATTCAAGCTAAGTTAAACAATAAATAATGGTCAAATAATTTAAAATTGTTTGAACTATGTTATCAAATAGGGCCAATAATGGGACCAAGAAGAAAGTGCAGCGGGCAAAGTGTAGGATTGCATTTAGAATTAAAACTGAACTAGAGACTCTGGATGATGGATTCAAATGGAGAAAGTACGGCAAGAAGATGGTTAAGACCAGTCCAAATCCCAGGTATTTATTATATATAATAATTTATTCACCTCTAATTAATTTCCACTTTTTACACACACCTATATATGCACCTATCTGATATTCCAGAAAAGAGTATATTAGATATCTCGCGAATATATACCACACAAATTATATAATATTTATTTAAAGCAAAATTAATTTATAATGAGAGAGAACGATCGATCAAATTGTTGATTATATATATTAATTATGAATGAACGAAAATAAGAATAAGGTAACAAATTATGAATAAAAAATATTATTTAACTCCATCATACCTACAATAGAGAGTAATATATAATTGAGAAATTAAATTTAAACAATATACTCGATCAGTATATATGATTTTAAGAACCAGAAGTGTGGCTAATTAATCAGTTTGTGTAATTTTTGTAGAAATATATATTTTATAAGATGAATGATGATATGATGGCCATCATTAATATTACATGCGCATAGCGAAGTGCAAATTAAATATATCTAATTAATATTCATCTTAATCATGATTAACGGTGATCCACTTCAACCTTTTGCTTTTGAAACAACTTCAATTTAACCTTATGGGTAATCGCACTTTTGGTCCCTCAATTAGTGCTCATTCTGCAATGTCATCCTTAGTTCCCAATTTGAACACATTTGGCCCCTCAATTGTTCAACCATTAAGCAGATTTGGTCCTTCTGTCTATATGGACGTTTAACACCGTTTAAAGCATGGGTAAAAGTGGAATTTCACATAGCATTATTTATAATAAGTAGGGGAAATCGCACTTTTGGTCCCTCAATTAGTGCTCAATCTGCAATGTCATCCTTAGTTCCCAATTTGAACACAATTGGTCCCTCAATCATTTGACCATTAAGCAGATTTGGTCCTTCTGTGAGACCATCAGTTTAACTTCGTTTAAATCAGGGGTATAATTGAAATTTCACATGAGTAAGAATTGAAAGTAGTCTAGCCATCAACATAGCTGTGATTTCCGGTGATGATGGTCTGGTAAATGTTGTCACCGATCATCATCAAGTATTTCTTGTTCTTAGCAATGGAGACGTATTCCTCGTACACGCCGGAAATCACGTATACGAAGAAGTAGACGCCGTCGGACAGAGTGTTGTTGGGAGCAGCGACGACGTCGTCATTAATGGTGGCAAAATTTCCACTCCCATCTTAACTCACAACCACAATGTCAGTCACCAGAACCTGGTCATCTTCCTGAGTTTGCAAGAGCTTTCTCCGGCTAACTCGCTCGAAAATCGCCTTCGTCCGTTCCGCCATCTTCAGAAGCAAACGCCCGTTCCGGAACCCAAGCTGTTTCTTGGTCGGACGCCAAGCTGCAGCGCCGGCGCCGGCGGCCTTCTTCTTCCTCGGCACCGGATAAGGATTTGCAGATGGAGAGTCGGCCATAGTCGTAGACATTGGAAGAAGAGTTGTTGCTGGGGAGAACAATTTGGCAGTAAGATGGGTAGGGAGTGGACTTGTAAATGGTGGATGCCGAGACACTTCTCGACGGTGGCGGAGCATCTGCGGCGGTGAAAATAACAACCGGGCAGAGAAATGGGAAAAATTCGCTTATTATATTCAAGGCTACGTGAAATTTCAATTATACTCCTGATTTAAACGGAGTTAAACTGATGGTCTCACAGAAGAACCAAACCTGCTTAATGGTCAAATAATTGAGGGACCAATTGTGTTCAAATTGGAAACTAAGGATGACATTGCAGATTGGGCACTAATTGAGGGACCAAAAGTGCGATTTTCCCTACTTATTATAAATAATGCTATGTGAAATTCCACTTTTACCCATGCTTTAAACGGTGTTAAACGGTCATATAGACAGAAGGACCAAATCTGCTTAATGGTTGAATAATTGAGGGACCAAATGTGTTCAAATTCTGAACTAAGGATGACATTGCTAAATGGGCACTAATTGAGGGACCAAAAGTGAGATTAGCCCTTAACCTTATTTTAATCTTTATATTATTTGATTTACGAGAAAATTAATTTACAATTATTACCTAAAGAATTTCTTTTATATATATATATATATATATATATATATATATATATATATATATATATATTGTGTTTGCGCTAGAGTAAATTGTTGCCTAGTCATAGGAAGAAATGCATACTCTTCAATTCCAAAATAAGTCTTTGAGTTAGAGTCTTATAAATGGACTAATAGATAATGCTACAAATTTCTTCTAAATAATTGACGTTCGTCAATGATTTAATTTAACATTAATCAAAAATCAAAATTATTATCGAGTATTGAAAATCATAATGCCAAAAAAAAGAAAACAATAAATTTAAAATTTTGTTCTAATATAATGGATACAGGTGATAAATGATCGAGATCGTTCAGTGTTCTAATACCTCTAGCAGCCTTTGGCTTTGCATGCCCTACATACACTAACTAGTACCTACCCATCATTAGCCGTAATCACCATAATCACTACAAGCGGAACTTCTACTGCTGCCGTGGGGGGAGCACTAGCGGAGCTTCTACTACTAGTACTGCGTATCAAGTTCCTCCAATTGCCCTCAATTTCAAGAAAGAAAATCGCAGGTCCAAGGTTAGACGCTAAATAGGAGGAACCCAGATTCGCGGCACAATCGGGTAAGAATCCTCTGATTTCTCCTTCAAATGAGAGTGAAGGCGTCGGTGATGCAATTTCTGGAGAGTGAGCAACCGGTGTCAAAGCTCTTGAACTCGGAGGAGGCGTCGTAGAGGTGGTCATCGGTGACGTCAGGGTGGAGGTCGCCGACGTATAAGGACGCCGGAGGCAACGACTTGGAGAAAACGACGGCGTTACTCCAACGAAGCACAGATGAGAGAGAGAGGCGTTTGGGTTTGGGAAAATAAAATAATAAAAATACAAGAGATAAGCTTCCCTTTGGTCAGCTCAGTAATCCCTCTTTGGATTTGTAGTGTGAAAATTATCTCTGTTTTCCGAATTCCGGCATGACATCTGCTCAGGAGGAAAGAAAACCAGCGAAAAGCTTAACTTGGGGAAGAGAAAAGAGTTTTTTTGCGATTTTGGTCCCATGACTATAGTGTCACTAAAAATTTTGATCCACGACTTTTAAAATTTACAGAATTGGTACACGATTATTACTTTCTTAATAAAAATAGTCCTTCCGGCAAACTCTCCGTCAATTGTTCACGGGTAATTTTTTTTCTCCTTTTTCACAAGAGTATAATGATTTTTCATTTACCTAAACTAATAATAATAATAATAATAATAATATTATTATTATTATTATTATTATTATTATTATTATTATTATTTAGGTCATTAGTTTAGGTAAATGAAAAGACCATTATACCCTTGTGAAAAAGGAGAAAAAAAAAATTTTCCGGTGAACAATTGACGGAGAATTCGCCAGAAGGACTATTTTTGCTAAGAAAGTAATAATCGTGGACAAATTCTGCAAGTTTTAAAAGTCGTGGATCAAAGTTGTTAGTGACACTATAGTCGTGGGATCAAAACTGCAAAAAATCGAAGAGAAAACATAGAAAGGCAGAAATATCTTTGGATTACACGGTAAATTGACGAAATTCTTAACGGTGGACTAAAAGTGGAACGCATTTAATAATATGGGGCGCAATGTGATATAAAAAATAAAAAAAAAATAAAAAAAAAAAACTATAAGGAACTACAATTAAAAAGACCCCTATAAAAATAGGACCAAAAATGGAATTCACTCCCCTACCAATATATTAAGTTGATGATGGCCGCAGCCAATTAATCTTTGTACTATACGTCTATACGTTGCATTTATCTTTGGTTCCCTGGTAAAATAAATAAATAAAAAAAATAAAAATAAATTAAAAAAAAAGTAAGAATATCAATTGTATCCAATTATCTTGAGGGACCTAATTTTCTCCCACCATGAATGAGGGGACGAGAATAGATTTTAAGGAATATGAAAATGAAAGGGGGGTTTGGAAATTTTCATTGTCTAATTAACGAGAATAGTTATATATATATATATATATATATATATATATATATATATATATATATACACACATATGAAGGTTCAAGTGCGGCGGTGCGGCGTCACCAATAGTTCATCAAATATACACCATCAACGTTAGGAAAATACACCACAAAAACACACAAGAATTAGGTATGCATCACCAAAAACACAGCATTAGGTGTGAGTAAAAACACCATACAGTGTTCGAAAATACATCATTAGGGGTGGTGAGTTATATGGTTTTTTTTTTTTTTTTTGGGTCTGTTGTGCATTTTTTTGGTGTTTTTTTGCATTTCATTGTGGTGCGTTTCTCTTACACTGTTGGTGCATGTTGTTAACACTGTTGGTGTATTCTGAAATTTCGCCGCATTTGAACTTTCTTCTATATATATATATATATATATATATATATATATATAGAGTAAATACCCAAAATGGTCCCTCGACTATAGCTAAATTTACAAATTGGTCCTTAACTTTCAATTTTAACCAAGAGTAAATACTCAAAATGGTCCCTCGACTATAGCTAAATTCACAAATTGGTCCTCGAGTTTCAATTTCAACCAATTAAGTCCTTAACTTTGTAATTTTGACACGATTTGGTCCTCCATCTATTTGACCGTTTCTTGACCGTGATCGACGATCTCCAGAAGAACCTTCAGCTCTCGTCGGAGCACGTGAAGGCCTCCAGGATGACGTTGCACTGGTTCAGAAACATGTCGTCTTCTTCGCTCTGGTACGAACTCAACTACATTGAATCCAAAGGGAGGATGAAGAAAGGCGGCCGGATTTGGTAGATTGCTTTCGACAGTGGATTCAAATGTAACAGTGCGGTTTGGAAATGCAACTAGAACCTCAAAAAACCGACAATAAACCATGAAATACATATATATCCTCATACTCAGGTGCTACAGGTACTTTTAATATTCTAGTCACATCTGTGGGGATAAAAATATCTGTTAGAATATTTGGATCCCAAGTTCCAGTTTCCTAATCAATCAAACCCTTTACCGGCGCC